GTGTGCTCAGAGTGGCATGCCTGTCTCTCTACCGTTCTGAACCGCGTGTTAAAAGGAAATCCGTGACGATGCGGCAGGTGCTGTGCCGTCAGGAACTCTGGCACACGTACCACCAGCGAAATTCGGAAATGAAGCCCCGATTCTTCCTGGAACTGACTCCAGGATCACCCTCAGCGTTGTTTCCCTAAATTAAATTACCACATAATTACCTAGAGTCTCCTGAAACTCTCACAAATGGATCGGGTGAGGGGTGAGGGGGCGCAGGACCCCAGAGCCGCTCAGCATGGGGGTGTGTCTGCCCTTGCCTGTGGGGGCAGGGGAGGGGGAGAAAGGGAACGGCCTGGCAGCCTCTGCTTTGCAGACTGAGCACTGAGGCCCCTGGGGACCGCTCGGGGCCCTTCCTTGGTCTGTGGACCCCCGTTAACAACTTGCAGTGCAAGAATAAGCTTCAGTGTCCAATCACACACGCATGCGCGCATGCGCGCGCACACACACACACACATACACACACACAGAAGACTCCATGCACGTACACACAAGACATCTGATTCCAAGGTATTTATCTAAGAATGGGAACGGTGCACAAGCTTTGGGAATGCATAAAACACCCAAGACACGCCCCTCACCTCCCAAGGTGCTCTGGCTATGTCTACTGGGAGAATGGAGGCCCATACGAATGTGTATGTTGCAGGATGCAATTGATTGGCAATGATCTGGGGGGAGGCAGTAAATAATGCAGGATTTCAGGGCACGGCCAGCCTTGGTAAAGGCTGGAATAATCTAGAACAACCCTAGGGAGGGGATGGGGTCTGAGTTGGTCCTCTGAAAGACCCACAGCATCCCGGAAGGTGGGAGTAGAGCCTCTGGGGACAGACAAGTCTATCTCTGAGCCCCTGTCTGTTTCCCCGCTTACTGGACGTTTGACCTCGGAAGGTTCCTGGAGCCTCTAAGCCTTCATTTTACCATCTGTGAGACAGGGACAATGGTAGGACCTACCTCATGAAGATGTGTGAGCAAGCATCGAATGAGATTATCCCTCTAAATAAAGGTCCTCATTCATAATGAGCACTCAGTCAATGTCAGCTGTTACCAGTAATTGCAAAGGGAAAAGAGGGGGAGTGGACGGGCTTGGGGGGTGGGCAGTGATTTCTGCACTGTGGCTGCAGGAAACGAATACTAGTTCAGGCATAACTCTTTCCTCTTCTGGGTTCTTACCTTCTCACACGAGTGGTAAACATAACATGCAGCCACAGGAGAAATTTGTTTCAAAGAGTATGAGGGGCTGGTCGGCACAAGTGCAAGTTCAGCTCGTAGGGGCTCGTCCTGACTCTCTCGTATCCTAGTGTTATTCTCAGCGACCCAGGATAAAACCGGAGGGGCTGAGGAAGGATGAGGTCCCGGGTCAGCGGGCAATCCACCAAGCAGGTGGTGAGGGCAGCATGCGGGGGGCTGGTGGTGCGCACTAGGCATAGAGAGAGGGAAGGAGGGAGGGAGGGGGCTGGCAGTCAGTTTCGAGGTAAACACCGCTGCGTAGCTGTCCCTCGGTCAAGCTGAGGCCCCAAGCCAGAAGTCGTTAGAAGGCATTTGGATCTGACGAAGGATGTTTAATGTTCCCTGCTAAAAAAATAACCTGTGTGTTTACTTAGGGGGTTTTCCAGAAGCGCTCAAGGCTCAGTCCTGACCCAGTTCATCCTCAAAGCATATCTTTGAAGGCGACAAGGAAACTGAAGGGCTGGGTTTTTGATGAAGGGGCGTGGGTACCGCAACTAGATCTGCCCTGCCCTCTTGTATGTTCTAGAAGTGTGATGTTTGGGATGGGTGGGAGGGAGGAAGAGCCTCTATCCAGGGGTCCTGGGTGGACCAGCCCTGGCCTTCCTTCACTCTTTTGTCCAGTGGCGTCACGTGTGGACCCCACGCCCGCCTTAACTCACAGGTGGGGGGCGCCCCGCCACACGGCGCCCATTCTGTGCCTCGGCGACATCCTGGTGTCCTTATGACCAGGATCCTGGCAGAGCCCGTGCTCTCAGCTCTCTGTACCTTCTCCCCCTGTCGGACTGGACCGTCCCTGTGGTCAGGGACTGACCATGTTGGCTAGTCAACATGGCTAGTCCAAATAGAGTTTCTAGATAAAATCCAGGATGGCCAGTGAAGTCTGAATTCACATACACAATGCATTTTTCTTTTGTAGTATTAGTATAGCTCCAATATTTCACGAAACACACTAAAAAAGTATGCATTGTCCCTATGAAATTCAGATGCAGCTAGGCGGCCTAAGTGGTCATGTGCTCAGTCCGGGAACCCTCACTCCCAAGCACCCCAATGGAGCGATCACGGCGACGTCAGACCCCTGACCACGAATTGGGTGGGTGCCAACGTCCAGGGAGAGCCGAGCTGGGATTCAGCTGGTGAGGGAGGGGCCAGCTTCTGAGGGGAGGAGGGACACACGAGAGACCCTGGTGAGCCAGCCAGGCTCTCCGTGCTCCAGGCTCAGCCCCCTCGGAAAGGTTCATCGGGAGAAGTCTGGGTCTCCTGGTATGTAGCATTAAGGTCCCAGCTCCCGACTTTTGCTTTCTTTCTCCTGAACTCGGACTCAGAGAGAGGGTTTGTGACCCTTTGCTTGGGAAGGACTGGGCCCCCTTAGACATCTAGGCCTGGAGTTAGGAAGAAGCGGTCCACAGCCTGAGGACCTGGGGCTAATGGCCTCCCCACCCCACCCCCATCCTGCCCCAACGCCAGGGCTCCTGACTCTGACTCTGAGTGTTCCCAACCTTCAACACCTCTGTGCCCAAGAGGCCTGGGGGGCAGGTGGCAGTGGGGTGCGCCTCTGCAGGATGGTAGAGCAGGCTGGCTCTAGGGTCATCAAGAACCATGTGGCGGCCACGCACCCTGAGGCGCTGGTCGGCCCACAGAGCCTCGGGCTCTCATCCTGCAAGGAACCTCAAGCCCTGTGGGGTCTGAACGGAACAAGATGCTCACGTGGTGCCTCGTACGTCTGAGGAGCTCAGCACATGGCAGGGTCCTGGGGCCGGCATGGGTGCTGGACACTCGGGTCTGGCGCCATGTTGGGCATCCCTGCAGCTCCCCCCGTCCTATCCGTCAGCCTCTGTGCCAACAGGCTCCAGGCTCTCCCTAGGACCACCCTCCTCAAGGGCCCATCCCAGAAGTTTTGCCGCGTTCCCAGGCTTCAGGCCACCTGCAGGCCACACCTTCCCCCGATGGTATAGTGGCCCGCTGTTTGCCTTCCCTGCTGCCAGGGGTGCCATCCTCGGTCTCCCCTCCCCCCCTCCGCCAGGCTCAGCTGGGCAGAGGCCACCCACTGGCTGGGAGCGGCACCCCCAGGGGCCAAGGCTCACTCCCAAGTCACCAACTGTGCGGACCTGAACGAGGGGCTCCCCTTCTCACTCCTGATTTTTTCTTTTCCCTCCACCAGAAAAGCAGGGAGACGAAATCACTGCCTGGCATGCGTCTTTGTGTACCAGCCAGTGAACGACAGGCCCGATTCTAGTGCTGAGCAGGCAGTCTGCCAGGAGCAGTCAAGATCACCCCTCCCTCAGCTCCCAGGGTGGCAAAGGGCATTCATTACATGGAGGGGGGAGGGGGGAGTGTTTAACTCACTCTAAAGGGGGCTGGGGTGATGGGGGTAGTGGGAGGGACAATTCACAAAAGCCAGGGCTAGAAACTCCCAACGGTTTTTTTTTTTTTTTTAGAACTTCCCTTCCCTCTCTCCCCTCCCCCCTCCCCTCCCCCACCTCCAGCCGCTGGTGGCCTGCCGCCAACACTGGCCACACTGTCCGCATTCAGGCCTCCCGCCCTCCTGGCCGCAGTCTATCTCTGCCCCTGGCCCTCCCAGCACGGCCCCCTCCTCATTCTGAACCACGTTGACCTCTTCGCCCTGGCGCCCCGCACAGGCTCGGGCCCTCAGTCCCGGGCGGGCAGGCCGGGGCTCTGGAGGCGGGGGGCAGCCCGGCGCCCGCAGGGCCCCAGTCCCGCGGCCCCTGGCCCTGCTCGGCCACCCCAGCCCCAGCCGGGAGGGAGGAAGATCGCTGCGTCTGCAGAAAGCTGGCGGCGGCCGCCGCATTCCCCGAGTCGCGGCTTCTGGGGGGGGGGGGGGGGGGTGGAGACGACCCTCGGTCCCTTAACCCCTTCCTGCCCCACGACACCAAGGGCCCCAGCCTCGCCCCCCAGAGCGCGGCGGGCGGAGTGGGGTCCCGCGTTCCCCTCGCTCAGAGGAGAAAGGGGTGGGCAGGCCTTGCTCGCCAGGCCCCCTCCCCCTCCGCATCCACCACGCAGGAAGCCCCCCGCCCCTGCCCCGGCCGCGCTCGCTGCGCCTCCAGTCGGAGCCTCCGGCCTGGTGGTTTCCGGGGAGAGAGGCTGGCAGAGAAAGAGCCTCGGCGGCTTCCTCGGTGGGGCGGGGCCAGCGATGCCAGCCGGCGACGCTAGACAGGGTGGGAGCGTCCCCTCCCCGCCGAACCTGCCTTACTTACCGGGCAACAGTATTAAAAACACCCCTGCCCCACCGGGGCGGCGCCTGGGCGTGGGGCGCACCGGGTGGGTGGGGGGCAAAGATCGGCAGGTGCCGGGCGGGTGCTGCGGGCGGAGGTGGGTGGGTGGGGGGATGGGGGCTGGCCCCACCCGCTCCTGCGCGCCGCCGTCTCCCCCCTCCCCGTGCACCCCTCCCCCCGCCACGCAGATCCCCGGGTCCGCCAGGCCGTGGGCACCGCGGGCCAGGAAGCCCTGGGGGCGGGGGCGACGCTGACACCCCCTCCCCCCGCAGGAATTCCCCTCTCCTTTGGAGCGCCTCTCGACTTCCGGGGAGCAGGGTCATTCCTCTGGCTCGGGCGCCTGTGCCCGCGAAACCAGGCCACTTTGCTTTTGCAAAGGTTTAGCCGCCGGCGCGGTAGGTTTCCTCCCCGAGACCTGCGGTGTAGGAGGGGTGCGTAGAGAGGGGTCCCGCGGCCGCCTCCCGAACCTCCAAACTGCGCTCATCTCAAACAGCGAAATGCACCTTCAACATCTCCATTTAATATTTACATTCAAGCAGATAATAATTGGAAGCTTATAGTTTAGACATTTCTAGTAGCAGCAGTTTCTAGAGAGCTCGTTTAGCCTTTTAAACAAACTTTTTTTTTTTTTTTGCACATAGAAACAACACATCCATGTGTACAGTATCAAAAAATATATACCAAGGTTCCTGGCATTGCAGTTCCAGGAAGGGGAGGGAATGAAATCAACCGAAATACTGAATGAACAGGAAGAAAGGTCAACAGAAAATAGTTTGTCTGATATAGAATATAACATGATCTAGAGGAAACTCCATAAATCTAGGTTTTTATATTTCCATATATAAATACCTACAAATAAATATATATATATCAGCCCGAAGGGGGTGGTCGGGCCTTTTGAGCTCAAACAATACATTTCAATAATAACACCACGTACAAACGGGACAAGTTAGCACGGTTAAAATATAATACTATAACTCTGAGACCCAGGCGCGTGGCTGCCTTGTCAGTCCCGGAGATCCACGGGGGAGGGGAGGGCCAGCGCGGGGATGGGGCAGGTGGGGGGCGAGAGGCCCGCAGGCACCGTGTGCAAGGGGCCAGGGCCGGGCCGGGCCGGGGTCGGGCCCTAGCCAGGAGCCCACGGCGGGCCGCGCAGGGACGCGGATACAGCGGCTCCGGGCGTCCTCACTGCGGGGGGAGGGGGGGGCAGGCCCGGATCCCGGATCTCCCGCAGCTGGCGAGAGAGGAGGAGTCCGCCCCTAGGCACCAGGTGCTAAGCCACCCGCGGGGATGGCGCTTCCCCTTCCGAAGCCCTCCGGCTACACTGTCACGTACTCCTTGAACGTGACGGTGAGGCAGTTCGCAGTGACGTCGGTGATAATTATATTCCCAAAGAAGGGCTTGAACTCGCTCAGCGGCTCCTCAGGCTCGTCCTGGGCCTCGGCTGGAGGCTTCTCGGCCGCTGTCACCGGCGCAGCTGGCACCGCCGACGCTGTCGCGGGCGCCTCGGGCTTCACTTGGAGGGCGCTTGGGGGCTCCCCGGCCTCGCCGCGCGTCTTGACGCAGCGCAAGTCTATGGGCTCATCCAGATCCGAGTCCAGCAGGATGACCTCGGGCTGCGGGAGGGCGGCGGTGGGGGGCACGTCGGTGGGATGCTCGGCGGCCGGGCTGCCCCCCAGGCAGGTGGGGGTGCTGATGCTGCGCGCCGTTAGGCGCTTTTTGCAGGGCTCGCGCTCGCCGTGGGTCTCGGAGAGGCAGCGCTTGCGCGCGTGGGAGAGATTTAAGCCAACCGAGTGGTGGTGGTGGTGATGGTGGTGGTGGTGATGGTGGTGGTGGGAGGGCGGGTGGGAGCTCCGGGCCGGGTCCCAGGCCAGCAGGTCGGGCTTGGTGGTGAGCTGCAGCGGCTGTTCGCTGAAGGCCTCCTTGGTCGGGGAGAGCTTGCGGGAGCCGGCGTCCTGGGGCTGCGGGTCGCCGGCCCCCGGCGCCTCCTCCTCCCTCCTCTTGGATGGCGCTTCCGGCTTCTTCTCGTCCGTCCCCGCTGCCTTTTTGAAAGTCCTGTCGGCAGGGGGGTGGCGCTCCTCAGCGGCCCGCTTCTTGTGGCTGGGGGAGCGCGCCTCGCCCTCGGCCGCCTCCCCGGACTTGATCTTCACCGCCTGCATGCCGTTCTCCATGTATTTGCTCATCACGATGACGATGCGTCCATTCTTGTTCTTGTTCTTGACGATCTTCATCTTGCCCCCAATTCCGTTGCCCGTCACCGCCTCTTTGGGGGCCGGTGTCATCCCATTGGGGGGGCCCTTCTCAGAGCCCTTGCCTGGAGCCCCTGCCGCACCCGCCAAGGGCTTCACGGCTCCCAGGTAGCCCTTGGCCCCCGCGCCGTGGGCCCACTTGTCTGGCGGGTGGCTCTTGGCGCCCAGGTCCGGGCAAGTGGCGCTGGGCGCCTCCTTGTGGCCGCCCTGGTACTGCAGGTCGTACATCTTGGGGTCCGGCTGGTAGGGGTGGTGCTTCTTGCTGTTGAGCTGGTAGTAGTACTTGCCGCTCTTGCCCGGCGGTGGGGGTTTGCCGGTTCGCTCCTTGCTGTGGGGCTGGTACTGGTGGTGCTTCTTGCTGTTGAGCTCGTACTGGTGGCCCTGGCCCTTGCCCTGCGTGCCCAGCTCCAGCTTGGAGCGGTTGTCTGCCGAGGAGTCCTGGAGGCCAGTCAGCACGTTGGAGCGCCGGGCAAAGGTAGGTACCTGGGGGAACGAGGCGGGGATGGAAGGGGGAGGTGAGGAGAGGGAGAAGGCCAGCCCCAGAGCGAGCCTTGAGCGCCAGGAGTGTCCCAGCCCCCACCGCGTCAGCGGCTATGTGCCAGGGGCAGTGTGCCGAGGTCAAGTAGAACGGAAGTGCACTTGGGTGCTCTGGAGAAACTCCCCCTGCCCTCTGGGCCCGGAGGCAGCTCAGGTGTCAATGTCAAGGGAAAGACCGGCGGACAGCCCTAGGACAGCGGGGATATTCACCTGCACCACCAGCGGTTTGGGCTTCGGCCCTCTCTTCCGGTATCCCATCAGCTGCTCCTGCCGTTCCCTGGGGGGGAGGGAACAGAGGGCAGCGCTATTAGCCTCGGGGTCACCTCCCTTCCTGCTACGTCCAACCTGAGCTGATGCTGGCTCCCCCCACCCGCCTTCGACGAGCAGCCAGGCCAGCAAGACGTGGAGGGATCAAGAGCTCAGGGCAGAAGGTCGCCCAGCGCCAGCTGGGTGCCTCGGTCGGGTCCCAGAGCCCCACTCTGTGCTCACACCGACCCTCATCTGACCAAGGAGTCCTCTGCGAAGGGCTCCCCCATGTCCGGTATCCGCACCTGAATGGCACCTGCCCCCCTCCCCACAGCCTTGCCTCTACATGGGGGAGGCGGCAGCTGGGCGCCTACGGCCTTGGGCCTGTGGCCCTGCACAAAGTGAGGTGGGCGTGGGGGTCCAGGGGATGAGAACAGGTCCAAACGAGGTGTGCGCCGAAGTGTCCCACCCCGTCAGAGGCACGGGATGCTAATGACCTCATTAAGATTCACATAGCGAGTGCCTCCGGCAGAAGGGAGGACTCGTTTTTCTTAAAGGCCAGGCACTAAAAGGGGGAGGGGCTGCGCCCTTGTTTACACGGCAGCAAATGAGCCAATTAGGGGCTGGGGGCGGGGGCCAGCAGCCGAGGCCACGGCCCGGCCAGGTTCGCAGCCACCTGGTGAACCGGCTCCGGGTCGGCCTGCAGGAGCGGCTGGGCTGGGCGCAGCCGGGGCGGGGCGCGGAAGCACCGCCTCCTCGCCGCGCTGGGCTCCGACCCCGCCTCGGTTTCCCAATTATTAATAAAGCCCACCAGAGGTGGCACCGGTCAATACAATCGCCAGGCTTCCGCCTGCGGCCTGGCAGAGGGTGACCCGAGGCCGGGGGCGGGGGGCAGGCGGGGCGCAGATCGTCCCAGCCCTGCCCCCAGCCTGCCACAGGAGAAAGGGGTGCCTCCCCAGCGTTTGCCAAAGTTGCAACCCCTTCCCGGGCCACAGCCCGCGCTCCAGCGACCCCAGGCACCCTCCTGCCCGCGGGCTGACCCAGGGGAGTTCTGCCATGCCCGGGGGCCGGGGCCTGACTCCAAAGTTGCGTGGCATTGCAACAGCCTGCGTTTTAATTCTTCGGGGACCCATTATGCAACATGGCATCAGCCGCTGACATGGTTACAGGGTGGTGAACTCCCAGGTGGAACCGGGGCAGGATCCCTTCTCGGCGCCCCCCTGCGTCGCGGGAGAGCAACTTCCCCGCCGGTCGCTCTCTCCCAGGGTCTAGAGTTTACAGTTTTAGCGCCAAACGCGCCACAGGAAATAATGCAAAATAAAAGGGGGAGGGAGGATGGAAGGCGGCGCGGTGGCCGAGCTCCTGGGCTCCGGCCGCTCCTCCCCTTCTCGCCCGCCCTTCCCCCCCGCCCCCCCCCGCCCTCCCCGAAACAGAGAACCACGGCCACCGGCGCTGAATCCAGCCGCAGCAGCTGCAGCGTGACAAGCATCTGTGCGCACCAGGATGAGCCCCTCGGCCGAAGCCACCCCCCCCCCCAGGCAGCTCCTATCCCACACACCCTTTGGGTCGACTCCCCCTGTGGAGAGGACGGGGACGACACCCACCAAGTGGCCCAGTGGAGGGGGGTGTGAAGGGCACCGGGCACCAGACGCGATCTACCCCTCGCTGATCCCCAGCTCCCGGGGGGGGGGGGGTCAAAGGTTGGGGGAGGGTGGCTAAGGCCTCCTCAACTTTTCTCCAGCCCCCAACAGGTTAAGCTCAGTGCCGTGACGTCCGGCGGTTTCACAACGCCAGCTCCCCCGGCGCTGCCCCGCGAGGTGCTGGTGCCAAGCGGCCGGTGGCTACAGGAAAGCAGCACCTAGGCTCTGGGGGTGGGGCTCCGGAGTTGCGACGACAGGCCCCCCCCCCCCACCGCCGCCGCAGGGAGCCAGGGGCAGCCTCGAGGTCTCCAGGCGGCGGCAGGGCCACCCGCGCACACCCTTCTCGAAGTTCCCCCAAAACACAAGCCTCGCCTTCTCCGGTCCCGCCCCGCCCCCACCCCCAGGCTGCCGCAACCGCCAAGGACGTTGGTTAGACGAGCCGAGGCCGCAGCCTCGCCTCTGCAGGCCCGCTGGGGAAGGGGGCTCCCGCCGGCCCCCCCCAGGCCCGCTCCCTCTCCCACTGCTGCGTGGCCCCCTGTCCCACTCCCGCACGCGGTCACGGCGGCGGCGGCGGCGGCTGGGGGACGCTCACCTGTTCTGGAAGGCGATCAGCAGCCGCGGATCCAGGATGTTCTCCTCCGGCTCCCACGTGTTATATCTTGCAAGGGAAAAGGGAGGGGGACACGGCGTAAAGAAAACCGAGCCAGCCTTGCAGCCTCCAGGTGGGGAATGACATAAGACCCCACTCTGTCTCCGTGAACCGAAAGCTATTTGGCTGTGGATGTGGGGGGTGGAAGGGAGATTTCTGCAGGCCCGACACAGTCGCCGACAAGCCCCCCTCCCAAGTCAAAATAAACACACAAGGGCAGGAAGAAAGGGGAGGGGTAAGAAAAATGAAACTAGCAGTTTATTTTGCAGTTGTCAAGAATTTTAAGCATGTTACTGCGACATGTTCCAAAGCCACTTTGCTCACCAGGAACCATGCGTGCAAAGCAGCCGAAAGGCAAAGTCGCAGTCCCCCCCCCCACCCCGAGTCTCCGCGAGGGCTTCAGCTGTTCTCCATTTGACCCCTAATCCGATCACCGTCAGCCAAGCGGCCCCCCCAACACCCCCCTCGCAGCTCTGGAGCCCGGTGTCACGGGCAAGCACCCCCAAATACTCAGCAATATAAAAATATGCCTCTGTGTGTGTGTGTGTGTGTGCGCGCGTGTGTGTGTGTGTGCGTGTGCCTGCGCGTCTGTCTCCATCCGGTGCCTTCGCATTTCAAATTAAAAAAAAAAAAAATTCCCCACCAAAAGCGCCGCAGTGACAGTTCTCAACATTTTCTGCCTTTTTTCTTCCTCTCCCCGCACCACTAGGAGGGAAGAGGCACACAATTGCATTTTCGTCGCTTTTTAATTTTTTTTTTTTTTTTGGTTTTGCAATATGGAGCCGTTCGGTGGAGGGAAAGGGGAAAGGAGCCATTTTCTGCTGCACATCAGTCAGTGCCTGCGCCCTCCCTCCCTCCGCCGGCCTCCCCGGCTCGGCCCCGCGTCTCTCCAGCTCCTCCGGCTCCTTTTAGTGCATAAATTAGTGATGGCATTTCCCGGAGAGCGGAGCACAACACAGGGCGCCGGGCTCGGGCTCGGCGGCGCGGCTTCCCCAGTGCCTGCCACCGACTTCCCCACCCCCTCCTCCCTCCACCCCACCTCCACCCCGCCTCCCGTCCGCTCCCCCCACCACCCCACCAGCGCGGCGGTCCGGAGCCCGGGAGCCCCGCGCCCCGGCACCCCGCGCCCCCGCGCCCCCGCCGCTACTTACTTGGGGGACCAGCCTCTCCATTTCACCAGATACTCCACTCTGCCCTGAGGGGGGAAGAGACAGCACTCCATCAGCTTCCGCGGGATCCCCGGCCCCGGCCCGCAGCCTCCCCACCCCCTCCCCGCCTCCTCGCGGGCCGCTCCGGCCGCCGCTCCCGCGCCGCCCCGCCGCCGCCCCCGCGCCGCCCTCACCTTGCGGATCCGCTTCTTCTCGATGCTCTCCACCGCGAAGACGTGCTCGCCAACAGCTGGCAGCTCCATGGCCGAGCCGGAGCGCGCCGGGGCGCGGGCGGCCGGCGCGGCTGCAGACGCTGCTGGCTCCTGCCGGCGCCCCGCGGCCGCCCCGGGCCGAGGCGCCCCCGCCGCCCGCGCCGCCCGCGCCGCCGCCGCCGCCGCCGCCGCCGCCGCGGCTCTCCCTGCACAGCCCGGCCGCCCGCCGCTGCCCGCGCCGCCCCGGCTCCCGGCTCGCGCTCGCTCAGACAACTGAGCCCGGGCCGCGGCTGCACAAGAACTCATGCAAATCCGGACGTCAGCGGGCGGGGCCTCGCCGGGCCCAGCTCGGCGTCAGGGGGCGGGCCGCGGCCGGGATTGGCGCAGCCGGGCCTACCGGAGGCCCCGGGCCTGGGCGGCGGGGAGCGGGAGAAGGAAGGACGCGGGAGGGGGCCGGGGAGGTGCAGGGGGAGGGCTCGGCGGGCCCCGGCAGGAGAGGTGTGTCGGCCGAGGGCGCAGAGCGGGTGGAGGGCTTGACAGGGCCGGGAGGGTCTCGGCAGCGACCCCTCGGCCGCAGCTCGGCGCCTGGGCCTGCCCCTCCGCCTCCCCTTCTCGGTGTGCACCGCCCAGGGACCCCTGCTGGGGGCCACGGAAGCATCCACTGCAGTTTCCAGTTGCACAGAATTGCGTCATGTGCAGACACACGGGGAGCCGCCGGCAGGGGGCGGAATCGGGGCAGGGGCAGCTCGCGGCCCCCACCCTGCGCGCCCCGCCCCGCGAGGCTCGCGGCTTTTAGGAAGGCGAGCGAGGCACGGGGGAGGAACGGGTAGGGAGAAGACGGAGAACTGGGTTCACAGGATCGCCAGGGAGGCCGGGAGCAGCCAGTTTGGGGCCCTAGGCGCCCCAGAACCTTCCGAGAGGGCTCAGGGTCCGATCGCACCCCAGGGCCCGACAGGCTCCCGATTTCCCCTCGGCACTGTCCCTGGTGGGGCACGGGCTGGAAGTCTCGTTTCCAGCGGAGACTCCTCCCCACCCCCACCCCCACCCCCGCGGCCGAGCAGGACGTGGGGGGAGACCACACAGGGGACGCAGGGGATGCCCACACCTGGGCAGGGGGCCGAGGGGACCTGGTGGGCTCCCGGGGAAGGCACCGGTATCGAAGGAGAGAGTGGGGAGGGCGGAGAAGGGGTGCAGGCTGAGCCGGGGCAGATCGAGGCTGCACAAAGCGGGAGGTGAGTGCGGTGGCCAAGCAGCCGGCGTCCGCGGGCCGTCGCGCCCCTGGCCCCGGACAGCCAGCCACGCCAGCCGAGCCCAGGCCCTCCGGACGCCGGCTGGGAAGGCGCGGAGTGTGAAGTTTAGCACCTCCGGCGGCGAGCCGGCGCGCTCGGCGTGCGGCCTCGGCGTCCGGCTGGGGGAGCTGCTGCGCTCCACGCCGCCTCCCGAGGGCGCCGCCCGCGGGGCTGCGAGCTCGGTGGGGTCGCAGCGAGGGGACCCGGGGAGGGTGCAGGAGGCGCAGGGCGCGCTTGCCCCGGAGTGTGCCCGGGCCCCCTGCTCCAGGCCCCTGAAGGACCGGGAGCAGGAAGCTTGCGCAATCCCTTGGCTGAGCGTCCTTGGAGAGAGAAAAAGAGCAAAAGCCGAGCGAGAGTGGAATGAGCCAGGGGGGCGGGCAGAGAGCCATCCGGGTCTCCGCTCCCGCCCCAACACGCGTCCCGGAATGCTGGGTGGGGGCTGCGCAGGGGCCTCCAGAGAGCCGGGGAGGGCCGAGGGGCCGACGGGAACCCCCCAAGCTGCTCGGCGCTCGCGTTCTCCCGGGGACCCGGGAGAAGCCTGGAGACAGTCGTGTTTAAGAGCGCACACGTTGACGCCACCATCCCAGCACCACCTCGCAGCTCCTCTGGACGTGGCCCTTCCTGGTGGGTTGTGGGCTGCTGCCCCGATGACCAGCGTGGCTCCTCCCTTCCAGTGGTTCTGGGAGGGGGGGGTGTCTTCTGGCGGCTTGAGAGAGGGGCTCGGTCTGCAGTGGCTGCTCTCTGACAAGCTCGAGGCACAAACCCAAGATTCCTGGAGAAGTGAGGTGGGGGGCGCGGCGGGGCTAAGTGGGGCCGACGCCTGCCTACGGTCCACGGGTGGGGGGGGGGCGGCTCCCGCGGCTTATAGAAGCTGGGGTAGGCGGAGTTTTGGGGAAGGGGGACACAGGGTAAACGTTTTCCTTTTGCGTTTGGGGCTTTTTTTCTGACACTGGGCCAGGGCGAGGAGCTCTGGGGTGAACTTAACTGCGGAAGGGGAAGGGTCCCCAAGGCTGGCGCGAGAAACTGCCGCGCTGTCAGCGCGACAGTCGCTCTTACCCGTAGAGCCAGCCGCCAAGCCGTAGGCGCTTTCAGTCTGCGGGGAGGTCCGTGGCGACCTTGCCCTGGGCAACCCCAGCGTCCGGGTAGGGGCTGAGCTTCCCGACACTCCGCCTGCCCCCTCACTAGAAAATCCCCTGGAAAATGTGTCTCCAGTGGGTGTTTCCGCGGCATCCTTGTCTCGCTGCTGCAGCCTCTGCGCCGCCAGGGGCGTCGGACTCTGCCCTTCGCACCCCGCTCGCTCTGCCCCCGCACCCCCCGGGCGCCTGCTCCGGACCTGGACCTCGAGGGGCCACGCGGCGGCACCCGGTGCCCCGACGGCGACTTTGCGCAGGAGCCGGGCTGGGCCTGCGGCCGGGCTGGGGAGGAAGGGTGGCTCTCGCCGGCCAGTACAGCGGATCTTTCCTATAGCTGTCAGTGTGGCGGTGCGAGCAGCCGCCAGGTTCCCCAGACGGCGGGAGGGGAGGCCCCCAAGCTCCTCGGAAGCCCTGGGAGTCCCCCGCCGCCCCCACGCCCGGCCTTTCTGCGTCAAGTGTCCGAGTTACACAAACGCCCGCTGAACGCAGCGACTCGCTCCTGCGCGCCCTTATTTATTCTGTCCTCGAGGAGGGTGGGCGCGTATGGAGAGAGTTCCAGAGCCCCAGGCTCACCTCCGGCTGGCCTGGCCCTAGACCACCCCTCACCTGCCAGGGGCTGTGGGGAGGGACTCGGATCGCAGAAGCATCAGGGAACTGCAGGGAGGAGGCAGAGACGGAATCTGGGGGGTGGGGGTGCGGGAGGAGCCGGAGCGCCCTGGAAGCCCCCCTGAGGCGCCCAGAGGGCCCCTCCTGGGAAGCCTCCCACGTGGCCTCCCCACCGTTCGCCCCGGCTCGGCCGCTCGGCAGGAACCGAAGGCGAGTGGAGCTCAAACTCGGGATTCCCAGAGCCTTCAGCTGGGGCCACTGCCTCCGACCCGGGATATCCCGGGCTCCTGGGGGAACCCCGAAGGGTCACGGGTCCGCCCATCTGACGTCGCCGCCTTCCAGCCACCGACAGATTGCGCCCCAGGGTTCCGCTGAGGGGCAGAAGCCTTCCGGGTGCCGCCTCAGGCTGGGGCCCCCAGGGGCCCCCAGGGGCCCCAAGTGAGGAGCGATGCTCTCTCCCTGAGCCGCAGCCTGGCTCTAGGAGGGGAGAGGGTGGGAAGCGCAGACCCTGGAGGAGCGGGAGACTCTAATGGCCGTGGGCCAGAGGGTGGTGCGACCCCGGGTCCCTGAAGGGTCCCCAGCCACACCAGCCCAGGGAAACAAACGACTTCCTAAGTCCTCTCCCTGAATGGACGCTCTCCGTGAGGGTTGCCCCCTGCCGCCCACGGAGCCCAGGTCCGGGCTCTGCCGGGAAGGAGCCCCGGGTGGCTTCCCGGCCGGTCCTAGGCCTGGAGAGCTCCCCGTTGGTGTCGCCTTCTAGGTCCCTGGAGGTGGGTTTCAGACAGCCGAGGGGGAATTTACCAGCACAGCGGCGACAAAATCCACCCGGGCTTTAACAAGAGCTCATCTCTCCCCTCTGTTCTTAGTTGGGGGAACTTGTCTCTGACTTCAGCGCTGGCGTTTCTAATTTGGCATTTTTAGCGGTGACTGACCTGGGGGGGCTGCGCCCGGCGGGGGAGGAGGGGCAGAGGCGGAGGCGGGGTGGGAGCCCTGCACTCCGCCTCCCCGCACCCTCTCGGAGAGATGGCTTTGTTCCCAAGGGCGCCCCTCCGCCCTCCGTGTCCTCGCCCCCGTGTTTGTGCTCTTTGTCACACCGCCCCCGAAAGGTCGGCTTTCTTTGGGGTGGCGAACCCCCGGATGCCCCCGCGGCCCTCCGCAGCGGGCCGCACGAGGCGCCGGGTAGGAGGGCCGGGCAGGGTGCGCGGTCGTGGCCCCTTGGCAGGTCCTGGGCATTCCCGGGGGCCACACCCGCGCCCGCGGGGCCTCGCCGCCGCGCTGCGGCCCGCGGGGGTCGCAGGCGCCGAAGCGGGACGAGCGGTGTTCTGCGACGTCGGCTGGCCCACCCCCTCCCCACGGCAGGGCAGCCTCCCCCGGCCCGCCCGGAGCAGCCCACCCGACCCCCGCCACGTGCTGGGTCGCGGGGCTCCCGCCGGCCTGGTGATTTGCGCCCCCGGGATCCATATTTCAAATGCGATCTTTGGAACCGCTTCCGCCGCCCGCCGCCGCCGCCGCGCGCTCACAACGGCCTCTGCGTGCTGTGTTTTTCATCTGGGACTGGTTTGTCCAAGGTCTCCCCGCGGGCCTCCTGTGCCCGCGAGGTCGCCCCTTCACGTCCGCCGCCTGTGTTTCGCTCTCGGATGCCCCCGCTGCAGCCCCAAACCCAGCGGGGCCCACACACAGGGCAGATTTCTTTCTTTCCTTTTTACAAACGAGAGCTGCTTCAGCGAAGCCGGGGATGAAATGAAAATCGCCAGGCAGACCCCGAAGTGGTCGTCAGCCGTGGCGCAACCCCACCCCGCGGTCCCCCCAGCCCAGCGCGCGCCCCCTCCCCGCCTGGCGGCGCGCCGAGGGGGAGGCGCGCGCCCGAGAGGGTATCTGGTGCTGCGGGGAGGAGCGGGGGTGGGGTGGCGAGCCGGGCGCCGCTGGCCGGGGAAGCCGGGCTCGCGATCGTGCCCCCCACCGACCCCGGAGTGGCGGGGCGGGCGCGATCGGAAGGGCCCGGTGCGTCTCCGCCTCCCAGGGTGGCGGAGAGCCGAGCCCGGCCGCGGCCCGGAACCGCGAGGACGCTGCTCGGAGGCCGCGTCCTGCGTAGCCCGAGCGGGGGAGGGGGCGGAGGCTCCGGAGCCGCGGCCGCGCGTC